ACACACACACACACACACACACACACACACACAAACACTCTAGTCGACAACAGTTAAACACCCCTGTTCTCGATCGAAAGAATGTCTCCACAAAACAATAAGTAATTATAATAATTAATAAATAAATAGCATTTGTATAACGCATATCCCCACAGGAAAGCAAGCTCTACGCCCTTTACACCACATTATTATTATTATTATTATTACTACCCAGCAGACCATAGAACACTTAGAAACATTCTCAGCTTCCGGGAAGCATACACTGAAAGCAGCTGGGTTAAGCTCTCAAACACTAACAAACTGACAAGATCTTTCACTGTCTATAGCTGGGTACCCATTTTCACCTGGGTGAAGTGGGGACAATTCGTGTAAAGTGTCTTTCCCAAGGACACAGCGTCGGGCCCGCGGCTCGAACCCTCGACCACCAGTCCGGTAGCTTAACCAATAGGCGACCGACGCCACTAATTATTCTCAACATAGCAACACTACCTGCGTGTGGATATCAGCAACGTCATCAGCAGCGACGTCAGACACAGCGAAGACAGAGTTCTGTCTGTCCCTCGCTCCGCCAGTTAAGATATCTTGACGTGTTGTCCTTTGCAGCTCCATGTGATACGCGGTGGTCTTGACCTGGATCGTGCCGTTGTAGCCCAGAAAGTCTCTGTTGAGCCCTTGAAGGGAATCCCAGGTCTCCCTACAGTTGCTGGTAATGTCTGACGCCTGGAAGGTATACATCCTTCCTTTTAAAAATGTCTAGTAAGCATTTTGATGTATAAAGCATACTGTTGGCAAGCTGATCATAATATTATGTTTGAAGCCCAGAAAGCAATTATATTTTTAAAAGGGAAAGGAAAACGGTTTCATTCTTTTAACAATATATTATGTATCTTTTCTAGTTTTTTCGACCTTTTGAATTCGAATTTTGAAGAAATAATTCTTAAGCTTTTGCAGCCGCTACTACAGATTAAAATGCTGATCTAAAAAAAAAAAAAAAACACGAATGGAAAACGAAATCCAACGTTTTGGCTTAGTTCATTTAAATAGATGGCCGATGACATTGAGGTTGAAAACCTGAGAAACATTTTGAGGGTATCCTTTTTTAGAATCAATTATTGGCAAGCACTGCGATCCTGACTGTTGCCTTAACAAACGAGCGTGCAAAGCAGCAAAATTGAAAATTACCCTGAAAGTTAGAAGAGAAGAAGTGAAAAAACGGGAGAAAAAAAGCAATAAGTACCATGTCTAGCTTGGTGACTACTTGATAGCGCCTTCGTTAGAATGTTAGAAGTGAAAAAGTGGAAAACAGGGGAGAAAAAAGGTAATTAATTAAGTACCATGTCCAGCTTGGTGTGAACTTGATAGCGCCTTCGTTTGGCCAGGAGGTCTGTCATGAACTCAATCTCGTTGTTGCTGAAGCCTGTCTGTGTTCCCAGCTGGTCCGGGTCCGGTTCCAAAGCCGCGACGTTTATGGCCGTCCCTTCCACGATGTTGTTCAGCATGCTCTCTATAGCTGTCCACAGACACACACACACACACAACGCTATTTAGTGGGTGGGTGTCGGGTGCTCTGGTGTGGTTTGCTTCTTCTTTCCTATCAAACGTCGATCGTCCTTATCTCCCCTTCTTCATGTTTATGTTTGTTACTCTCTTGTAACTCCTCTAATCTTCTGGCGCTCATAAGACTTTATGCAGTTGCGAGTGCCGTAAAACCTCTACTAAAACTAAAAAACAACCCGATTTATGACATAGCTACAGGGCAGAAGGGTGGTTAGGGGGGGGGGGGGGGTTGGCAGTGGAAAGTTGCGCATCAAGTTTTTAATCCTTTTGCCAAAATGTGCAAAGAAGTTTTCCAAAAACCTGATTTAAAATTGAGCAGGGATATTCGGTATAAAGTATTTCTTAGGCTGCGCAGGTATTCGACATGGTGTTGACTTGAAATTCTATAAGTACATGTTAAAGTAGTAGACCTCTTCAGTTAGTCGATTATCAATACTCTTATTTCATTTCTTTGTATACATATTATTATCTTATTTATTTATTCAGACTTGAACTATAATCGTCACAATTTTGTGTTGGATATTTGTAAGTTACGAAGAAAATGTGTCAACGTAGTAGTATCTGTTCTTCTTGAAAACCCCCCCAGAAAATATATACAATAAAAAACACACATACTCTCTCTCTCTCTCTTTCTCTCACACATACAAACACACGCACACACACACACACACACACACACACACACACACACACATACACACACACACACACAAAACGCGCGCGTATACAGAGAAAGAGAGAGAGTAAACGAGAGAGAGAGAGAGAGAGAGAGAGAGAGAGAGAGAGAGAGAGAGCTTGTTGTACTTTTCAGCTAATTTTAGAGCTGAGACGTTTCACAGAAACGAAAAAAGAAACGTAAACAATCAACAGGCAGTACAATTTATCAGAAGTTTTTTTATGACACCAAGGTTCGATTTTGTATGAGTTACAATTTCTTTAAAAATTGTGTCCCTAAATAAACATCATGTGACTGTTGTACTGCAACGAAAGAGGGCGCTTCTGCTATGGAAGGCATAATGTCTCATGCCTAGTTGGTTACTATGGAAGGCATAATGTCTCATGCCTAGTTGGTTACTATGGAAGGCATAATGTCTACTGCCTAGTTGGTTATTATGGAAGGCATAATGTTTCCTGCCTAGTTGGGTACTAAATTGAGCAGTAAAACATTTGGCTACCTCAGAATTGCAAACTTCAATCTGGTCAGTGCCTAGTTTTGAGAAAATGGACGTCAAAGGTACACATCATATCAAGCTTTTTCGAATGGATATATGTATTTGAATATCTCGATAACGACTGCAAATATTGTTTCTAACTGTTTAGACAGAGTACATAGAAAATTAAATGTGAGGCAGCGTGGTGGAATCGGGCTCTCGTCAAAATAATCAAAGTGAAGAAACTTGCATTTTTCCGCAGGTTTGTGAATTTTTATCAAATTTTTTTGGGGCTCAACACCTTTCATGGCCATTAAAGAATTCATTTCTGTGGGGATTTTTCTGAAAAACGTTGATTAAAGGCACAAGAAATGTAAATTTTCAGTTATAACAGGCTCTTAAGCTAAGGAAATAACTAATCTTTGCGGGCATTTTCTCACTAATTTTTCCTCTGAAACCAGGTAACCCCCAGTTCGCTCAATTGCAAATATCTCGACTTGTATTCAAGATAAATGGATACTTTTTTCATCCACATAAAGACAGGTGAACAAGCTTGAAGATGATACCGATAACTCTACATGCCCAATGAGATTGACGAGAGCCTGATTCCACCACGCTGCCTCACAAATGTCAATTTGGTTTCTGACCCCATGGCCTTAATTACTCACAATGGCCGAAAATGTAAGACAGAACTTTGTAATTCTGCTGTAGCGATTTACCTGCTTTGGACACGAAAACTTCTCTTTGCACAACTGTTTTGCCAGACGCCGCCATTTCCCTCAAAATGTTACTCAACTTTGAAGCTG